TGAACTTGTTTTTTAAATGATCAGCTTTGTCCCAGATGGACCAGGTGCTGGGTGGTCTGAGATCTCAGCAGACTTGTCCCCCACCCCCCAAGTTTATCTGACCTCTTCATAGTCCCTGTGGGCTATAGTTGGGGGTTGGGTATTCTGAAGGACAAGCCCTATGGTTACTGTCCCTCCCAAACTCTGTGCTGTGCTGTATTGCTTTGTGCTTTTGGTAGAGTCTCCCCTTAAGAGCTGATTTTCCAAAACTCTTCATCAGAGAATCTTCTGGAGTGGAAGGTGGGACACTTATTTAAAAATATAGATTCTTGGGCTGTAGCCAGTTCCAGGTCCTATTTAAAACACCGAGGGGGTCTAGGAACCAGATCTCTGGGAGGGTGCCTTGTTTAGGAAAAACCGGCAAGTTTGATGGAGCTCCTTGTTAAGGATTCTTATAATTAGCTCCTGTTCTAGACTCCAGGGGTTCAATGTGGTCTTGCTCTTTTTTACCCCCTTCACCCCAGTTGGTAGCACCAGGCGTCGATTGTAGTTGGTACTAGAGATCCTTTGGTTTCACGCATAAATGGATGAGTGGTGAGTTTGCTTTGCACTCACTTCAAAGAACACAGAAGTTAAGAGCATTGCACTGTGAATTTGAGGGAAAACAAAGACCAGGTATTTAATTTTGTAAAGCTGCATGTTAAAGGGGTAACAGGTAAGAGTGAAAAGAGTGCTGATGTGTTAGAAAGTCTGAATTGGGCACAGAATTACATGTATGATGGCCTGGCCTTGGGTAAGTCCTCTAACATCCCTGGTCTGATGTCCTCTGTAAAATGGAGTGAGGGTCAGAAGTGGTAGTAGGTGTGAATGTGCTTTGAAAACTAGAAAGTGAATTCAGCTCAGGAGTGAAGAATGGTCAGGGTAGGGACAGGGGCACAGAAGCAGCCACAAGAAGGCTACTGTGTGGTCAGGTCCAAATCCATAGGCCCTACGGGGAGCAGGAGAGCTTTTAACAGGATGGCAGCTCAGATAGGCTCAGGGCCAGCTTCCTTTCTACTCTGTCCAGTTTCTGAGTCGACTAGGGCCCTCTGTTCTCTAGGGCAGTGTCCCAGTCCTACTGGGCCTGTGAGGCTGTGTCCACATTTTGTTGTTCTGCAGGTGCTCAGTGGACATTCCCCAGGGAAGGCTGCTCATTTCTGCCTCGATGCCCTGGCGTGGTGAGGTTCCTGTGTGTGCGGGAAGGTAGGAGGTGAGGAGAGGAGGCTCCAGTGACAGGGCCCAGGATATGTAAAAGAGAGGTTCTGTGAGCAGCCGGCCTGGGAGTTGACCAAAACCAGTCACACATGCCTGCACCCACTCACTCAGAAAATATTTGCATGCCTACCAGGATGAAGCTCTAGAGCTCGGGTAGGGACCACGTGGTCAGTCTGCTAAGAATTAGAATGAGAGTGATATGGTTTGCCTAGAGTTGGGACCTGCAGGCCTGTCCCAGTGCCTGGCCTGATGCATGACTGCTGTTCCCTGCAAACTCTGAGTTGACTTATTACTGTCCCCTGGCCATTCCTACCCTGACATCTACCATGACCCTGATTGTTCCCTTAGGCCTGTGTGTAGGAAAATGCACTGTGCAGAGCCTTGTTGGGCCAGTGAGTGGAGAGGGCAGTGAACCAGGGTAAGTGCATGTATGTGCATCTCCCCTGCAGCAATGGCCCCCTCCTACCTTGGTGGGTCCTCCAGGTCACTGTGTTATCGCATATGGCCACCTTAGCAGCCCTGTAGGAGGTATGACATTCATGGCCACCTTAGCAGCCCTGTAGGAGGTATGACATGCTCATTTTTCAGGTGAGAAAAGATACTCAGGCCATTAAGGGATTTCCCAGAGCTACATGGCTAGTCAGTGGTGGAGCCAGGACTTCAATACAGAACTTTTCAGGATTGGGGAGAACTAGAACATCAGGGAAAAAAAGTTTTTAAATGTACTGTTATTCTTTTGTCTGATTTTAGAATTAATACAGGTAAAAATGTCAGTTTTATAAACAAGGAGGACCTCTGAGTCCCCAGAGATAGTACAGAGATAATCACTATTAATAGTTTGGTATGTTCTTCCACATTTTTTTTTTTTCTTTTTTTGTGGTACGCGGGCCTCTCACTGTTGTGGCCTCTCCCGTTGCAGAGCACAGGCTCCGGATGTGCAGGCTCAGCGGCCATGGCTCACGGGCCCAGCCGCTCCGCGGCACAAACCCGTGTCCCCTGCATTGGCAGGCGGACTCTCAACCACTGTGCCACCAGGGAAGCCCTTCTTCCACCTTTTTAAAGACATTTTCTAATATTTATATTCATTATTGTTGTAACAAATGTAATATTGTACATACATTTTACAGTTTACTTTTTCAAAAATGTTATTGTAAAAGTACTATCTGCTTGTCATAAAACACTGAAACAGGATAGGAATATAAAATTCAAAGTTCCCCAGCCCTCCTAATCCCCAAAATAACTGTTGATAGTTTAGTGTGTGCCTTGTAGACATTTTCTTTGCAAAATATATACTCATTTGTGTACTTTATTCTCACCTAAATAAATTCATACGCATACTCTTCTGCAACCTGACCTTTTTAAAAAGTATCTTTTATAATGGAAAATTTTCAAGCACACAAAAATAAACTGATGGAATGAACCTCCATTCATCATCCAGCTCCAACAACCATCAACTTCCTTGTTCTTGTTTCTTTTCTCTCTACTTTCACTTTTCCCCCTGGGGTATTTTAAAGCAGATCCCAAACATCTTATCATTCCTTTATAAATACTTAAGCATACGTATATAACAGATGAAAAAATTTTAAATATGCCACTATCATATCCAATAAATCTAACAGTAATTCTTTAATATAAACTAATACCCAGGCTAAATCAGTTTTTGTCATTCATCTCACAAATGTCTTTTCCATTTGGATTGTGTGAATCTGGTTCCAGTGAGATCCACATACTGCCAGTGGTTGGTATGTCTCAAGTCTCAATTTGTAACTCCATACGCCACCCATGCTGTTTACTTTTTGGAGAATTTTGATTATTTGTCCCATAGAAAGTCCCACATTCTGGATTTGCTGATTGCATCTTCCTGGAGTTGTTTAACACATGGATCTATGCCCATATTTTCTGTAACTGGATAATTTGTTTTAGAGACTTGATTAGAGCTATGTTTTAGGGTGAGGATGCTTTGTTGTTGGTGCTGTATGCTTCCAAGTCATCATATCAGGGGACTGTCATTAAGATCCATCAGTGAACCTGACTTATGGTTGTCTTTCCACATCTATACACATAGTCCTTAATTTAAAAAAAATATATATTATTTTTTAAAAGAAACGTGTCAGGCGCTTGAGCTGGAATGACAAAGAAAGGCCATAATGTGGCCCTCACAAGCAGGCTCCACCCTACGAAGACAAGACCAGGTGTATATGGAGAGGATGAAGCACTGGATCATGGGGAAGGTCTTGGAACTGAGGCCAACAAGGCACAGTGCTGCTGGCAGCCAGCTGCTCTTCTGGGGCACTATGTAAAATGATGTAACTGAGTGAAAAAGTGGTGGTGAGCTGGCCTCCTCTCCATGCTCATGTCACTGAGCTGCTGTCGTGGTGAGGGATGCTCATGAATCTGAGTCTGTTGTGTAGAGAGGCTTCTGGGTCTAAAAGAGAGGCTTCTGGGTCTAAAAGGACTGTGGCTTTTTGGTCCTTATCTCCTGGTACTTTGGAAGCTGAAATCAGGGTGATCTTCTGGTGCTCCATTGGTGAGTCCCAGACTTGTGGTGGGGCTGCCTGCTTTGGAGAGAGCGGGTGAGATGACCTGGTGCAGCCGCAGAGCTGGAAGGGGGCACCTGGAGACCATGGAGTCCAGTGCCTCAGTTTACAGGTGAGAAAACTGTGGCCAGAGAGGAGAGGGGAGGTTTCCAAGACCAGCTAGCAAGCTGGAGGCTCAACTGTGACCAGCATCCAAGCCTCCGATTCTCTGACTGGTAGCCACCTAGCATTTCCCATTTGGAATCTCTGAGGTGGTGAGGGTGGCCAGATCAGGCTCTTGATAGATTCTTACTCTGCACCCAGAATTTCTGAGTATCCTTTGGTGGTGTTCTCGTGCTCGTTCTTGTTCAACTCCTGGTGGGTTCTTTGACCTGGAGGTGGTAGTGAACAGTGGTCTGTTTCAGTATTTGGTGACCAGCTTGGTCTGTGGTGGTACAATGGTGGTTTAAATACAAACTGTGTCAGAGTCCCAGCCTCAGCTCCACATTCATCAGTCAGCCAAGAGGTCTCGGGCTGCAGTTTCCTAAGGGATAAAAGCTCTTCCTTCATTATGTTTGTATTTATCTTTCACTTATGGTAGGTACTACTGGTTTTCTGTTTTCAGCAGTGATATAAGCCTCCTCTTAAATGTTGATAGATTTAGACAAAATCAGGTATGTAGTATTCTAACCTGGCAGAAGGGGAAATGCAAAAGATTGCAGTGTGGAAGACGTTGGACCAGATGACCTTTCTGGTCCTTCCTAGCTTCCTGGGAAGCTTTCATGGTTACAGGGTTTTCTTTGTATTCTGGCGTGCACCGGTCACGACTTTCTGGCCTGAGCAGACTTGGTCGCCAACATAGAGGCCGTCCAAAGTTAGAAGACAGCCTGTGAACTTTCATTCTGATTGAGCATGTATTTATTTATCACCTGGGCGGTTATCCTGGGAGAATGGAAAGACAGTGAGACAGGGTCCTAGTTCCTGTGGAGAGCTGTTCCGTGGAGGCTGCTCTCTATTTGTGCAGTTCGTTATTTGTGTGGTCCATTCTGGGCCATGTTCACAGGAAGTTTCTGAGTCGTTTCTCTCTGGGCAGTGCCCCACGACTGTCATCCTCTGCAGCCTCTGGGAAGTCTACTCAGGGGTTCAGTCATAGTCTGAACTTCCAGACCTGAGAGAATATGGGGGTATTGGCATGGAGACTGGGGGGAGTGGCCTGCAGAAATGGGCAGTCATGGGCTCTCTGCCTTTCAGGATTTCTCTGGGGAGAATCTTCACTCAGAGCTTGCTGACAGCCAAGGATGGCAAGCAAAGGGCCCTCGGCCTCTGCATCTCCTGAGAACTCTAGTGCAGGGGGGCCCAGTGGCAGCAGCAATGGCGCTGGTGAGAGCGGAGGGCAGGACAGCACCTTCGAGTGCAACATCTGCCTGGACACAGCCAAGGACGCCGTCATCAGCCTGTGTGGCCACCTCTTCTGGTCAGTACCCCTTCCACTGCCCCAGAGGGCACATGCCATGTTTAGAAAGCTTGTGGCCCTGGACAGCTTTGGAGCAGGTTTTCCACCCATTTTGGGTCCTGATACACTCAGGCACAAAGGCAGGAGACCTGGGTTCTCATCCCAGCTCTGCTGCTGATAAGCTGAGTGAACTTGGGCAGATCCTGTCCCCACCTTGGGCTCCCTATCCCCATCTCTAAAGTGACAATACTCACCATTTAGTGAGCACTACTCCATGCCACTTGCTGCGCTGAGCCAAGAGGCAGTTACAGCACGATGGTTCTGAGCAAGGACTGTGGCTCCAGACTGCCTTGCTCTGAATCCTGATTCTGCCACTTCCCCCCTGGATAACCTTGGGCAGGGTGCTTCCACACACATTGTTTCAGTTTTTAGGGTTGTTTGGGAGCATTAAATGACTCAGGATATGTAAGAGACTTAGAAGAGCACATAGCACGTAGTAAATGTTACATGAGCTATGATCCTAATATTTGTTACCACATTTTATATATATCAAAATGAAGTGGCTGAGTCAGTGTCCATTCCAGCCTTGATGGTTACAGAAGCCCCTTCTGGCTCTGAAAACCTGGGTGAATGTTGAGATTTTTTTTTTTTTTCCCTCTTGATTTTGAGTTGGACCTTGAAGGGCAAATTGGGGTAACTAGAGGGATGAGAATGCCAGCTAGATGAGGTGAAGAGTGTGTGCCACCCCAGGGCAGGCAATTTTTAGGGACAGGCAAATGTGCTGCTGGGTTCATCTGAGACCTGAAGCTGCTGTATCCCTCTAACAGCACTCTGGATGGGTATTATGGGCTGGGGAGTATTAGGAAACAAGATTGTTAAAGGAGGATTGGGCCAGATTATCAAACCCAGATTTAACTGAGTAGAACATGGACCTATTGAATGTTTTTGAGCAGGGAAGCGGTGTGAAGAAAGGGTCATTTAAATAATATCTCAGGGAGTTTAAATTGGCAGCAGTGAAAAAGATAAATTTATTGGTGAATGAGTAGAATGGGGCAGAGGTTTTTTTTTTTTCCTGGAGGCTCTTGCCCTAATTTTGAAGTTTTATGCAAAAACTGTTGTCATCAGGACTTCCCTGGTGGTCCAGTGGTTAAGACTCTGTGCTTCCATTGTAGGGGGCGCGGGTTTGATCCCTGATCGGCGAAGTTCCACGTGCTGCGAGGTGCAGCCAAAAATAAAAAATAAAAATAAACAAAAACTGTTGTCATCAGCCCTCTCCTAGAGATTGGAAATACTCTAGTTTTGTGATTGAGGTATCATAAAACCAGGATTTGAAAGAATGAAGAATTCAGTCAGGGTACCATTGGAAAGAACACAGGTTCTAAAATGAAGGAGATGCTTCCAATCTGAGTGGTTTGTCCCTAAGCAAATCTACTTTCCTCTCTGTACCCCAGTTTCCTTATCTGTGAAACAGAGATAATTGCACTCGCTCAAAGGTTAGTGTGATGACCATTCTGTGACATTGACAAATGAAAAGCTATTTAGCCACAGCTCAGCACAGCACACAGTTGTTGTTTAATGAATGGGAGTAACTGTCATCATTGTTATAATCCAGAACTTTTCCCCAAGGAAAAGCACCCCCACTTTTCCCCCAAAGCTTTTGAGGGAAGTTGCCACTGGAGTGCTGCCGTGATTTGGAGTGACCTCTGCTCAGTTTAGAATGGAGTTGCAAGGTTAATGTTGGCGTCAGGTGTCTGTTATGTCCAAGGAGATTGTGTGTCTGGATTGTGAGGCTTAACTGTGGTTCAGTAATTGGGAAAGGAATTACCCTCTGAGTCCAAATTTTACTCAGGTTGAGAAGATACATTATGTGAGCGTCAGAAGCCATGTCTACATTTTCCACTGTCCTGGCATTTGGTAGGCGTGCAGTAGATATTTGTTAGTTGAATGGATGAATGTAGAGAGAAAGAAAAAATTTAAATCTGGAGTTAGAGTAACTTTTCCTTCAATTCTGTAAATGTCTTTTTTTGCACCCAGTGCTGGGTGATAGAGGGACAGTAAAATGGAAGTCAAAAGACTTCTGTTTTAGTCCTGGTGCTGCAGGCAAGTCGTTTGATGTTTCTGAGTTTTGTTTCCTCATTTGTAAAATGCGAAATTGAGCAGCAATCTCTGTAGTGTAAGTCACTAAGCTGGAGGTAGCCCTTTCTGCCAAGCAGCTTCCCCATCTTTCCATTACCTAAAGATGTTTTTACGGTAGACTTGAACTTTTAAGCTGCTTCCTGCCAGCAGAGCTCTCAGGGCTGAGGACAGCCTGAAGATTTTGTAAAACTGGATCTAGATCCACACCTTCCCTGTGAGCCTGAGGAGGCTGTGAACCCACTGAAGTTGAGTCTAAAATAGTGCGTGTGTGCATGTGCATGTGTGCATGAGGATGCCCCTGTGAGTTTGTCTGCACAGAGGATCCTTAACTTTTATTGGATTCCTTCAGAGGCCATAACCCCTCAAAGGTCAAGTTGTAGAGAAGCTGGGTCTGGGATGGTCTGGGACCTGGGGGTCTTCACAAGTAATGGGATCCTGAAGGTGGAGACTGGTGTCTTGTCTCCATTGCTTCATTTTTCCTGTGATTTTAGCTCAGTCTTTTCTAATTTCTGATAACAGTGATCCCCACAGACCCTCAGTGGGGTTGCAGTGCTCCACAGTTCAATCCTGTTTTCCCATTTTTCTCCTCCTACCTTACCCAGTGTTTCTGTTAATGAAATAATTTTTCTTCCTTTTCCCCTTTCTCTTTCTCCTTGATGACTGATTGCCTTGGGGACTCTGGCAGTTGGCCGTGTTTACATCAGGTAAGATGCATTTCATTTTACTTTGTCTTTCATCAGCTGTGGTTGCACAAGACACCCCTAGTCTCAGGAAACTACTGTCAGAAGCTGCATTCTTCCCTGCTTGTGGACTCATTTGCTTGCTTTCCCCCCAACCCTCTTTATACACCTGCCCACTGATAGGCAGTTGATGAAACAAGAGGTCAGTGTTGTACCCAGGAGGGATGCTCCTGACTCTGCTGTCGATGACCTTTGTGGCCTTGGCAAGCTACACCTCTCTGGGTCTCACTTCCTCATTTGTTAATTGGGTTGGATGTGATCATATGTTAGGTTTTTATTGTTGAGACTGTGCCTCTATAAAAAGCACCTCCCATCATATCAACAATCCCTCCTACCCTTATAGGTCTTGAAAATGTTAGGAAGGGGAAACTTTTTTGGTCTGAACAGAGAGCTTTTATGAGAGGGAAAAAGTCTGTTTTTCCAGCTTATTATTATTATGAAAACTAGTTAGTAAGTTTTCTCCAAGACCTAGGCGCCTGCTTGGTGGGACAGAGCTGAGTCTGGCACTGACAATTGGCTGTTAATAATCGCTGCCAGCTGTCTCCATGGTTGTTGTCATTGGAGCCCCACACTTGTAGGTGGCTTGGAAATGTGGAGGGGAGGAGAAAAGTTCCAGGCTGCTAAAGCCTCAAAATCTTGATGGGAGAAAGAAGCAGAGAAAGTGAGAGGGGTTTCCACTACATTTCAGGGCGGCGCATTCTGACCCCAGTGGAACCTCTAAAACATGTCTATTCTAAATCTGTAAAGAGCACATAATACTTAAGTTTTCGAGCTTTTGACAGTAAGAAAAAGGAAATAGGATATAAAAATCATTAAATGCTTCCTTCTCTTTGGCTCTGAAGTCCTAGATTCACATTTATTTGATAAACTACATATCACTGGGTCTAAAGATATAATTTATGCTCTAAGATAAATGTTGAATATGTGTGTGTGTGTGTGTGTGTGTGTGTGTATGTATAAAATATTTATTTAGTGTCTACAAGGACACTAAGGTAATATGTTTTTATCATTTTAATTTTGTTTTTAAGAAAGTTAAACAAAATGATTTTAATACAACCAGTGAAAGGGCCTGAAAAACCCAAAACAGGACTATTGTTTTTAATTTTGAAAGAAATAGTTGAATGCAAAAATCATTGAAAGTACATAAAAAACACTAAGCAAATTTAGATAATAAGAAAAATCTATCCTTTAGCACATAGTAAATCACCAGAAAATGGTCAGCTTATTTCCAGATGGCTGATGTCTAAGACACATAGTTGTTGAGGAAATGGTGTAAAAATGAGAAACACAGAAAGAAAAATCTGACTGCCAGGGTCATACAATTGATCCGTCAGGGAAGATGGAGATTTAAAGTTTGTTCTACCTGCAGCCTGACCTGTGACTGGATCTGTCAGACTTCTTGACACAGCTGCAGGCCTGCAGTTCCTTCCTGCTGTATTGCTGGCAAGCCCCTGAGAGAACGAAGCATTAAGAAGCCTGTTTAATTATGACGGCGTCTAAAGGCAATTTTGATTTCACCACTAGTAAATATTTATTGAGCAAGAATCAGAGAGTTGGGTTCCTTGAGGTGTTCCCTGCTGGTGCTGGTGTTTGCAGTTTGAGGACGCTGGTCCCTGTAGTTCCCCTACTGGCTCTGACTGACCACCCTGGTTGGCTTGTGCCATTCACGTGGTTTTCTCTTCTGCTTGCAGTGGTTGGAGACGAGACCTAACAGACAGGTGTGTCCAGTTTGCAAAGCTGGCATCAGCCGCGACAAGGTGATCCCCCTCTATGGCAGGGGCAGCACTGGGCAGCAGGACCCCAGGTGAGGCCATGGGGCTCCTCTCACACACACTCCTCCCCTTGGACACGAATTCATTTCTATTCAGCACCTCCTCACCCCATCCTTTAGTTAGTGTTTACAGACCCTCCATTTCAAGGCACTTGGCATCCAGATGGGAGTCAGCCAGGAGGGGAGGGGAGCCAGGTTGCCATTTGCGGGGCTGTGACACAGATGTGCTGTGAGCATCTGCCAATGGGCAGGCACTATGCTAGGCAGCGCACAAGACACCACCATTACAAGTATGCGGAGTGCTGTGAAGGAGCCTGGGAAGCAGGGTGTCCAGCAGGAGAGTCTGCAGTGTGGGAGGTGGGAGGTGGGTGCTGTAGCAGTGATGTTTAAAGTCTGGGGGGGAGGAAATGGGGGTCTGGGAGGCTTTGTGGAGTTTGAGATTTCTGGAAATGGAGGCATTCTGTTGAGAACCTTCATGGTGTGGTGCTCGAGTGTGCACATACACACCCATGCACGCTTTTCCCAAACTCCCGACAGTGTCTCTTACCTTCTTCCACCCCACTCCAGCATACCTTGTACCCAGACATATTGGACTTCTCTTAAAGGGACTTATTTATGCTTTCACCTTCATGAGCCTTTGTATTTGTTGTCCATTTGCCTCTTCTGCCTTCTCCAGTCCTGCTCAATCCCCTTCTCCTCCTCTAACTTCTGCCGTCTTTTATGAGCAGCCCTAAAGTTACCTCCTCCTTAAAGTGGCCTTTCTTCCCCACATTAGTTGCTTTCACCCATGCCCCCACTCCATTTAGTTGACACCTCTTTTAAAGAAGTCCCTTCCATGCTGTAGTGTGATTGGTTGTAGCCCCCTTTAAACCACTAGCACCTCAAGAGTAGGATCTATCTTCAGTCTTGGTAGCATCCTGCCTAGTGCCTGATGGATAACAAGCCCTCAGTCCAGTATTTGTGGGTTGAGTGATGGAAGGGGCTAGGACCCAGAGGTCGTAGAGAGAAAGAATAGTGTAAAGTACTTGCTCAAGAGTAGTGGGAGGTAAAGCTGAAGGTAATGGGGCAGAGCAGAGAGACCCTGAATCTCAGCCCTCTCTGCTGACAGGCCATCTTCTGTTTGAATTTGGATTTGGGGTTTTTGACATCCGTGACCCAGATCCAGGAAGGTGCCTGGCTGACAGTTGTAACCAATCTGGGTATGGCTGTCTGTGAGAGGAATAACCTGAGTGCAGTCTGATGAGCGTCTTGTAACACACGGACTTTCTCCCTAGTTTTCTACACACTAGGGAAAAGCAATTGCATGTAGAACAGAGTTAGTATTTGGTTTAATTTGGCATAAGTTCATGTGCCAGGCATGAAAGGGGGCCATGGCCCTGACCCTGTTGGTGAAAAGCTCCCCCACTCAGGGAACAGGTCAAAGCATTTCGTAATAGACTTATTTTGCGCCGTTTCTGTTTCAGAGAGAAGACTCCTCCCCGTCCTCAAGGACAGAGGCCAGAACCGGAGAACAGAGGGGTGAGGAAAATTCTAGGAGAAGGCTTCTAGAAATGAGTCCATGGCTTTAGAAGTTTCCCTCTTGGCCCTACATTTTTTCTCCTTGATTATAAAAGTAAAGGAAATTTTGCAAAATACAGAAAGGAAAAGAGGGGAGAAAATAACTTATAATCACACCATCCAGAGATAACCAATGGAAACACATTGGTCTATTTTCTTTTCTATTTTTCTATGATTATCTATACACACACAAATTTTATAGATCTATTTGTGTGTGTGTGTTTTATAGATAGATGTGTGTGTATGCATATATTTTTATTTTTACAATATTTGGCTAGTTACTATGGTGATCTCCTGCTGGTGGCAGAAGTCACATCTCCATCAATACCTAGTTCAGCAAAACTGTTCTGGGAGTTATTTTTTTTTTATTTTTAATTTTTTTGCGGTACGCGGGCCTCTCACTGTTGTGGCCTCTCCCATTGCGGAGCACTGGCTCCGGATGCGCAGGCTCAGCGGCCATGGCTCACAGGCCCAGCCGCTCCGCAGCATGTGGGATCTTCCGGAACCGGGGCACGAACCCGTGTCCCCTGCATCGTCAGGCGGACTCTCAACCACTGCGCCACCTGGGAAGCCCTGTAACTCTCTTTTAAGATTTTATTCTTTCTATATTTAGTGCCCTCTGTGTGCTCGGCCTCATTCTAGGCACTGGTAATATATCAGTGAACATAGTAAAGATCCCTGCCCTCGTGGAGTTCACAGGCAGACCTTGGAGATGCTTCAGGTTTAGTTTCAGACCACCACAATAAAGCGAATATCACAGTAAAGCAAGTCACACAATTTTTTTGGTTTCTGAGTGCATATAAAAGTTATGTTTACGCTATAGTCTATTAAATTAGCAATAAATAGCATTATGTCTAAAAAAAAGTGCATACTTTAATTAAAAAATACTTTATTGAGGACTTCCCTAGTGGTCCAGTGGACAAGACTGTGTACTTCCCAGGCTCTGGTTCCCAGTGGAGCATTAGCTCCTAACCCAGGAATCCGAGGCCCCAGGAAGCCACAGGCCCTGACTGTGAAGACTGCACATCAGATGTGCACGCCAGTGCACATATCTGGCATTTACAAGCACCCACAGCCACCAGTGATGTTTTTTGCCTACTCTGCCCCAGGAACATAAACCTACCAAATGTGAGGACTTGTGGGATTGTACAGGTGTTGCTGGAAGGGAGGCCGGAGGGCCAGTCCTCGGATTTGCACTGAATGAAGTGGTGGTTCCTGATGAAAGAGTTGCACCTTCCTGGGTAAGGCAGCCTTGATCTCAGGAGCCCTCAGACTCAACCAGGCTGGCTCTTAGTTGGAGGCTTTTCTGCACTGAGGAGATGGAAACCAGTTTTCCTTCCCTGTAGGTCTGCCCTCTTAATAAATCTGCTGTTAGGCTTTATAGGTAGTGCTGCCCGTCAAGAAGTTTGGAGCTGGGTGCCAGGCTATGCTCAGTAGGGATAGGGAGCAGCCACTTGCATGATTTGCAAAAGACTCACAAATGAAGGCCTATCAGCTCTTCATGGAGAGCAGTTAGCCCAATAATTTTTCTTTTCTTTAATTATTATTTTTTAATTTATTTTACTTTATTTTTTTGGCTGCATTGGGTCTTCGTTGCTGCTGCACGCAGGCTTTCTCTAGTTGCGGCGAGCGAGGGCTGCTCTTTGTTGCAGTGCGCAGGCTTCTCATTGCGGTGGCTTCTCTTGTTGTGGAGCATGGCCTCTAGGTGCGTGGGCTTCAGTAGTTGTGGCATGCGGGCTCAGTAGTTGTGGCTCGTGGGCTGTAGAGCGCAGGCTCAGTAGTTGTGGTGCACGGGCTTAGTTGCTCCACGGCATGTGGGATCTTCCCGGGCCAGGGCATGAACCTGTGTCCCCTGCATTGGCAGGTGGATTCTTAACCTCTGCGCCACCAGGGAAGTCCTCTTTAATTATTTTTTAATCAGTTGTTCTAAAGATCTACCCAGGGATGCAGAGGAGAAGAGGAATTTTTTAAAGATGTTCACAGTAATTAAGAGCATGGGTTTTCGGACCATACTGATCTAGTTCCAGATCAAAACTCTACCCCTTACCATCTGTGTGACCTTGGTCAAGTTATTTCACCTCTCTGAGCCTTGGTTTGGTCATCTGTAAATGTGGGTGATCCTAATGTGAGAATTAAATGCGATTTGAGTGTACTAGTGCTTAGCACAGTGCCCAGCACAGAGTTGGCACTTAGAAAATAGGAGTTAACCTATTTACAATATTATGATTCCTTCCGAATCTTTTTATGTGAAAGGTGATGCAGTGTAGAACATATTGGGCTGGCCAAAAAATTCGTTTCCACCATCTTATGGGAAAATCTGAATGAACTTTTTGGCCAACCCAACACTATAGGGAAAAAAAGCTGAGGATGATACCAAACTGCTGAGAGTGGTCATTGGAGGGAGGGGTTATGAAGTGGAGGGTGAACAAGGAGACCTCTGATTTTCTGTGTTATTTATTCCTGTAATGTGTTAATTTCTCATAGCAAGCATATATTACTTTTGTAATCAGGAAAAAAAGTGTTTTGAATTTTTAAAATTCTCTGTAACAATATTAAAAGAAAAATCTTAGGGAAAATACTTATCCGTATCTTTTCCACCTACATACATATTGTCACATACTTGTGACCATGGTGTTCAAACAATTTTGTCTGAAAGCTTGGTCATAAGAGTTTTTCTGTGTTGCTGCATAGTCAGCGTAATGTATCGAAATTTTGATCATGACCTCCATTGTTGGCCAATTAGAGTTCCACTTTTTTTGCTCTTATAGATAATGTGTAGCTTGTTCTATGTTCCCTTATAATTGGGTATAAGAGTTGTTGACACTTTGGCTGTTATAAAGCATGTAGAAAGTTTTATTGGCTAGTGTGGGACTCTGGGAAGGAACCTGGAGCTCTGAGAACGGTTACTTGCATCAGCAGAGAGTTTTACTTTGGGTCAGAGCCAGTCCTTTCTGGCATTCATAGCTCCTTAGCTGGGACCCCTGGATGGCCAGGAGGGCGGAGGAGCCACCAGGGTTCCTCTGCCTTGAGATCTAGATGGAAGGAAAAGAGGGTGGGGAAGAAAGGCGGGTGCCACACGTAAGGTGACGTGTGACAGGTGAGGAGAAACCTGCCTGTTCTGAATTGCATTTCTTCTACACAGGGATTTCAAGGGTTTGGATTTGGAGATGGTGGCTTCCAGATGTCTTTTGGAATTGGGGCATTTCCCTTTGGCATATTTGCCACAGCATTTAACATAAACGACGGGCGGCCTCCTCCGGGTAAGACCCTATTCTCTTGGTGATTTTGCTTGAAGACTCCTAGGAATTCAGCAATATGTAGGATAATCAGCCTTTTCAAAATGTGCTAAACTCTTTTCTGATTACTGGTAGTCATGGTAATGATATTGCACACTTACCAAGTATTAGGCGCAAGCACGTTCAGAGTGCTTTCCATTATAAACCTGGGATCCCCACAATGAGCCTGTGGGACAGATGTGCAATTAACTCCCATTTTACAATTCAGAAAATGCTCAGTAATGTTTTCCGAGATATAACCCATGCCCATAAAATGAAAAAGTATATACTCTACCCAGCTGAGTAAAAGCCTAGTCCTGGGCATATACCCCTGACTTTGACCATTGGGGGTGGGGAGGGGCCAGGTGACTGCAAGGAGTCTGGGCCTCCCTATTTTCTGGCATCTCTGGCCAGCTTCCCTCAGGACACATGTAGGGCTGGTCCTAAGCCCCAGCCCTTTGGGAACCATGCCTAGGTCTGCCACCTGCTTCTACCTTTCTCCCTCCAGCCAGCTTGAGAGTGCTGGCTGCAGTTGGTGTAGGGCAGGGCAGTGAGGTAGGTGCCCTGGGCTCTATCGCAATCTGACGCCCAGGCCCAGATCCTGACCATGGAGCTGCAGAGCTGCCAAGGGCGGTTGAGCTCTGCTTGCACTCAATGGGGCCTCATGTGCTGGGCACAGTGTGAGGTACAGAAGGGACCAGTGCGTGGCTCCTGGCCAGGAGCTTAGGCTCTAGGGACAGCAACCTCTCCTGAGCCATCCATTTGTCCCCCGCCCCCCGACCCGGGTGCTTGGCACATAGCAGACAATTGGTAAGTCTTTGTTGACTGCCGGCCTGCTTGATTCAATCAGCGCGCCTAACTGGGGCATAATATAGCACCAAGCGATCTTTGGACTGCCCTTCCTTACCTCATCTACCTCAAAAGTTTCTCCTGTGTTCACATGCTGTTTTATCAGAAGAAAGAGACCCCAAAGGGCCAGGCGTGCTCTGCTCTGAAGGAGGGACAGGGCCCCGTGGAAGGAGCACGCACCTGCCTGCTAGTTTATTTCCATCCATCCTGGTCCAGGGCTCACCCGGGTTCCCCAGGTAAAGAGAGTTCACAGCCAGGCTATGAACTCTCTTTATCCCCTTGGCACACTCAGACAGTTTTCCCTTGTTGTGTGTGTTTGGTACAGTTTGCCCATCTGGGATGTAGTTTCTCTTAACTCTCCTTGCCCCACAATCAGGACAAGGAGCTCTACAGAGTAGCTTTTCTCAAAGCAGAGAGGAGTGGAGACCCAGGTTCTCAGCCCACTTCTGCCCCTAGTTTGCTATGGATTGAGGAAGACAGGTCGTTTTGCCTCTCTGGGCTCTAGTTCTCGTCTCTGGAAAAGGAAGGCACCTCACGCGGGGCTCCCTGAGACCCCTCCTGACTCATCAGTGCCAGAGTCTAGAAACTCCTTGAGAGGTAGTGTGTGGAGAGGCTGAGAGCACAGCTGTGGGCTCTCCGCCAGCTCATGAACCTTGAGATCTCAGGCAGATCACCTCATACCTGTGCTTCAGTTTCTTTTTACACAGAATGGGATAATAATGTCCAACAGGCAATAATGTGTATACACAACAGCACACACAAGATGCTTAACAAATAGTAGCTTTTATTTTTCCCTCCAGGACTTTCCTGGTTTATTTGCACCTGGAGACAAAACCCTCTTAGGACGAATTGGAGACTTTGTCCTCATTGTTAAATGATTCCACATGTTTTTATAATTTGAATTTTGTTTTGCCTAATATTATTTGGGGTTTGGAAATATTTTTAGTGTGCAGGATTCTGTTGTAAAGAGATGAAGTCGAGATGCTCTCGACTTCTGACTCCAGTGGGCAATGTGTGCAGCTGCAGCATTCTCACAGCCTCCCTCCTCCCTCCTGTCCCTCCAGCTGTCCCCGGAACGCCCCAGTACGTGGACGAGCAGTTCCTGTCACGCCTGTTCCTGTTTGTGGCCCTGGTGATCATGTTCTGGCTATTGATTGCCTAATGCTGGGCTCCCAGCCTACATCCATGCAGGGCCTCTGGACCGGTGACATGCCAGCCCCACTCTTGATGTTTGGCTTCCTGGCTAATCCTGACCTCTGGAATCAGTGGGGTCAGTGACACATTAAGGAGTTTTGCTTCTCCATCAGAGCTTTGGGACTCAAGACCAGTTGTTGAGGACCCTGGAGTGAGGCCACTGCTGTAAACACCTCAGGCCTTAGCATTGAGTCATCTCTCATGGGTTACACCGTGAAATCCTGTCCCAGCCAGCTCAGCAGGTCCTGACTCTGCACAGGAAAGAGGCAGGAGAAGAGGAATTGTCAGTACAATTTCACCTGAATTTAATATTACAAAAACAAAGGGACGAACCAAATATGGAAACTTTTTTTCATCTCTTTAAATACCCCTTGGTAAGTGGCCTCCGAAGTCAGTGGGACTCCTCATACAGAGAGGTTCCCCTTCCAGATCGCAGTGCTATTCTGTCCTATTTCCTCTTCAGCAGAGATGCAAGAAATTGCTATCCTATTAAGATCATAATTACAGCAGCTGGAGCTGGAGTCAATTCATGAATTCACCAGGGACCCAAAGATCTATTGCCTCTGGGCTGTGCTCAGTGTCTTTGGCTCCAGAGTGGCTTGGATGACCTCCTGGTTTCCTGGCGTAGATTATCCCCAGAGACATGTGGTTTCCCATCAGTTTTCCCCCAAAACTATGCACATCTGCCTCCCTGCCAGAGGGCACCCAGCCTAGATTACTGTTGAAGCCAGGACGGACTGCGTGTTAGGAAAGACCTGCAGTCGGGACTCAGGTGGGATTCGGAGCTCAGATGTAGGAATGACTGAACAAGCAGCCTTGTCCCTAAGGCCACAGAAGCTCCAGGTGCATCCTTTCCCAGACCCCACAAAGGAAACTGGGAGCCTTGTTGAGTCACCCCAGCTGCATGTTGAAGACCACCCTCCTCAGAAGCCAAATTGTCCTTAAAGAAGAGGCAGGGAAAGGGGAGACCTAGCATGTGACTCTGAATTTGGTATGGTTTGAAGACCTCTTGTGTGTGTGCTAAAACCAGAGAAGCACGCTACTCCAGAGCAGGCAACCCCTGGTGGTTTGTAAAGCCGGGCGCAGAGCCCAGGGAGCCTCAGCACAAAGATAGGATGCGGTCTGCCTGTGCAAGTCTTCCCCTGGAAACTTTCCGGGAAGTCATTCTTCCCAAGCCCCTGATTTGTTTTTCAGCTTCACAAGCTGCTTCTTCCGAATTTGACCGAGGGAGTGTGTTGCCAGCAGGAGAACAGTTCACCTGGTGGAATGGGTCTCGCTCTGCCAGTCTGGCATCTTCGTAGAAATCCAGGCTCTTCCAGGAGACCCTTAGGGTAGGGGGAGATGGACTTACTCTGAGGGCCTCTCTGTCACTTCACCAGTCCACACTGCTCCTGAGTTAACCCCCAGCAATAGCCAACAAGTGGTTGAAAGCCCCACCTAGTGTTTGTTCCAGATATGGTTCTGCATAGTGTGTGGAAACCAAGACCTTGAGGAAGATGAGGGAAGCCCTTCTCCTCTCTCCACTGCACCCCCTGCTTCCCCTCTTACCTTTCAGTGCCAGAGTTCAGTGTTTAAACAGACAAATACAAGTACTGAATAGGTGGTTCATTTGCCGAATCCATTTGGTAGGAATAAGCCACCTGCTTTACGGTGTGCCTGATGGATTTTAAAGGTTCTCTGGGCACCCACTGAAGAGTGCTCATTTTATCACCTGGAAATCCCAGGTCTGACGGGCCCTGGTTTCTCAGTGCAACGGCCCCACCTAGTGATGGGAGAGAGGACTTCAGTCAGATGGATCGAACAGAAATGGGTTTCCAGAAGAAAGGTTAAAAATAGAAGGGTTGTAGGTAGGAAGACAAATAACTTTGACCCTTTAACGAAGAGGAGTGAGCCCAGGAGAGCTCCACCAGCAAAGGCATCCCAGGAACCTGTTAGCAAAGCCAGGTTGGCCATGTGCCCTTTGATTTTGAACCTGGCAGGTCCCCACTCATGCTCTGCCAGGAGCTGGGGCAGGAGAGCCGACTTGGGACTGCTGGCCCAGCCCCAACAGGGAGGCCCCTTCCCAATGCCCCCGCAGGCTCACCACCTCACCCCTCTGCTGAGGCATTTTTCCTTTCTTTGTGTGTGTTTTCTATGTTCTTGGCCCCCAACCCCTCCTGCCACCTTTGTGGATTAGGACCAGGTCCCAACCACAGTCAGAAAATAATACCGAGTACACCTTGACCAGTCACTGATTTTCACTGTTGTAAAAATTATTTGATTTAGAATTAAACAAATGGTTTTACATAACTGTGAGCTGTGGACTTACTGTGTCAGGGGAGTGGGGGGGGAATGGGTTGAGGACTGGTCTGGCCTCCACAAAGATTGAGGATGAAAGTCTTCAAACACCCATGGATAATTAGAAATGAGAAGCATAGGCTGGAGGCCTGGCTTCATACACAGCCCCACCCAAGGTGTGACCTGTCTGACAGGCAGGCCCAGTCCTCATAAGTGTATGGAATTCTGAAGGTTGTGGGCTGCCACCCTGGAGCTTAGCTTGTGGCCAAGGAGAGCCTTGAGGAGAATCAGGTTGTTCCGTGTCAGCATCTCTCCCCACGTTCTCTGACAAGGCAAGCTGGCCTCCAGCCAAGCCCTCTACCTGGAACAGGGGGCGTGCTGCTTCGTAAGGTTCCGTGAGGTTCTCAGCAGAACGTGAGATGGAAGATAGTGATATTACAAACCTGGCCCAGCCTCGGGCTCCCCAGCACATCAGAGCTACAGGTCATCCGTCTGAAAGGAGTTCTTTTCTCCCTCTTAAACTTTGACCTAACAGTTATCAAATTGAATAGTGCCAAGACTTAGTAGGAAATGCAAAGGTAAGGGAACTCCAGGAATTCATAAGCCCAGTAAGAAAAGGAAAGAAGACACAGAAGTAGAACAGGACAATAAGGCCTCCATGTACCAGTTGTTCAACCCCAATAGCCATCAACTCAGGTCCAGTCTTGTTTCATCCCCACCCTGACACTGTTCCTCTCCCGTACCTGCACTGTTTTGAAGCAAATTCTAGTCATATCTCACCTATTAAGTATTTCAATATGCATCTCAAGGATTTTTAAAAATATAACCAAGATACTCTTTTATGTACCTTTAAAAATTGATGGTAATTCCTTAATATCATGTATCCAATCATTGTTCAAATTTTCCTAGTTGTCTCATAACTCTTGTACAGTTTGAGTTGAGATCCAGATTAGATCCATACGTTGCTATTGGATGTCTCTTAAGTCTCTCTTACATCTATAGGATCCTCTTCTGTCTCTTTTCTTTCCCTTGCAGTTAGTTTGTCCTGTTCAGTTTCCTACAACTTCACTTTTGCTATTTGCATCACTGTGGTATTAACAAACTCTTCTCACTCTTGTATTTCCTGTAAATTGGTTGTTAAATCTAGAGGCTTGGCCAGATTCAGGCTTGATTTTTTTTTTTTTTTTTTTTAAGACTATGTCGTGATGTATACTTCTTGTTACATCATATCAGGAGACACATAATGTCTGGTGGTCCCTCTTTGTGATTTTAGCAGCCCTTACTGATCATTGTTGAGAACAGCAGGCCCCGTTCCCCCAAAAAAAAAAAAAAAAATCATGATTAAATTTTTTTATGGCCGATTTCTGGTTTTTTTTTTTTTTTTTTTTTTTGGTAAGACTATGTCGTGATGTATACTTCTTGTTACATCATATCAGGAGACACATAATGTCTGGTGGTCCCTCTTTGTGATTTTAGCAGCCCTTACTGATCATTGTTGAGAACAGCACTGTCCAATAGAATTTTCTGCAGTCGTGGAGATGTTCTCTGTCTGCACTGTGCAACACAGTAACCACTAGCCACATGTGGCTATCAGGTACCTGAAATGTGGCTAGTGTACTGAAGAACTGAATTTTTTGTTTTATCTCATTTTAATTTAAATAACCACGTATGGCTAGTGGCTACCATATTGGACTGTGCAGATTTAGATTAGTTCACAGGGGTTGCAAAATGATATAATTGAAAATAACAATGTGTTAAGGGTTTAGAAACAAGACTGCACTTCTGGCAGAATGGGACAACAAAATTACAGAGAACATGGGGAGCAGTGGGGTTGGGGACAGCTGGTGGTTGTAGGAATGGCAGAATGTTACAAGGGCAGAAGGTATTCAGGAAAAAGAGTCCTGGAGCGAAGGGAGTAGGGAGAGAAGGCTGTATGTAGGGTGAGATGTGGTTAGTTCTTGAGGGCCAGGTTTGGCTGTTATTTTGTAGGCAATAGGGAGCTATTGGTTTTTGAGCACAGAGGTGACAGAAACATAGTTTTGGAAGATTAATCAGTCCGTTTTAGGTAGGATGATTCAGGGAGAGGAGAAATTAGAGGTCCAAGACTGACTTGGTCTGAGGCACATGGAAGTGACACTGGGAGTATCTGGCCACGGACCAGTAGACCAGTTCCCTCAGGATGGCAGAGCCAGACCTTAAGGTGTTTGTCAGGGCCCAGGTCCTCATTTCTGTAGGCCCAGAGAGTTGCTTGTGAGTCAGTCAGCAGGATCTGGCCTCAAGGACTGACCAAGCCATGGTCAGGTAATCAAACTGCAGACAGGTGACCTGGTACTAGAAACCCAGGAGGCTTTCTCCCTGCGCAGGCCTTTTCTGCCCTCCAGAACTCCATTTGAGTTCACAAGTGATTTTGGAATGTTCTTTGTGTCCATGTTGAAAAGGTATCTCTGGGTTTTATCATTTCTGTAGACTGCTGTTCTCTTCCTTTACATTTCAACTTTTCACTTCTCAAAGTTACCTGAACTTCCCTGGGAGCAACTTGGGGGGAGTTGTTTATCCTCCCGCTCCCTGCTGGTGAAGACCATGAGGCTGGAGGTGGGAAAGAAGTGTAATGAGAGTGAGGAGAGAGAAGAGACAGACCTGGGTGCCTTGCTGTGGGGCAGAGGGAGAGGGAAGACTCCCAGGGGCCTTGGTTCCAAGGCTGCCAGTGCCTGGGTGTCTGGGAGAATACAGTGTAACCTCTTTTCATGTGCAGGGCAAATAAAAGCCTCACCCCTTTTTGCTAGCCATGAGGTGGCTTGTCAGGAGAGTCCCCTGCATCACCATCACTTTAATTCAATACACAGTTTTGTCTTTACTATAATCAGAGCAGAGATATCCTCAGAAAGTAAAGCCCACTGCTGAAGAGGGTTCCCAGGAATGAACAGAAGTCAGGCACATCGCCCACACTGCCCCTCAGCACTTTCTTCACACTCAGGACTTAAGGGGCCACCTGCCACACCCAGAGGAGAAAAATCTGACCTGCATCTGGTTTGGAGTACACAGTCAGAGCAGGAAGGAAGAGGATTGTGCTCACCTTTGTGTACTT